GGTGGCGGCGGCGGCGGCGGCGACGGGGCCCAACGGCGAGAAGCGGTCGGAAAAATGGCGTCCGATAACGAAGCCTCTTGCGCGAGTGACCCAAATTTCGCGGTGATCTGCTCATTTCTCGCCTGCTTCGGCAAGTCCTGCGGCATCATCTATCCGGACATCGCTCGGCTCCAGGAGATGCTCGAGAATACGCAGGAAGGTGGGTCTTTACTCCAGTCTGTATCTATCCATCTCTCTCTCTCTTTTTACACTTGTGTGTACGTGCTCTTGCGCGCGCGGGAGGAAGGGAGCGACATAGAGAGAAAGAGAGAGAGAGAGAGAGAGAGCGCGAGACACGGTCGTGTTGTATATGCGCCGCTAGACGGTGAGGGGAAGAGAGATGAAGGAGTTGCGCGGGAGGAAGCGAGAGGGAACGACAGCGACCCGCCCCCGCGAGAGGCCAGTCGTCTAAGCGCGTACTATTAGTTTTTTTTCGTACGTCTCCGCTTCGACTACTCGAGGCCTCGAGGTTGGCTCGTTCTGTCCTTATACATCCGTCCGTTGATTTGTTCCGGCGGAGGAGGCAGTCTCTCTCTCTCTCTCTCTCGTTTCCTTCGAGGAGCAAGAACAGCGGACAGTGGGAACGGGCGGCCGTCACCGTCGCCACCGCCGCCGCCGTCGCCACACCGCTGCTTTTTGTTTTGGTGTGTGCGAGCGGCTTGGCGCGAGATATAGCAGTATAGGTGACTACAGAGGCCGTCCCTCTCTACACGTCCCTCCCTCACGTTCCGCGCGGTTTCGCGCCGACCTGAACGGCCTAATAACACGTTCCCTCCGCGAAGCGTTGCTATTGACAGATACCAGCCATGAGCTACGGGGATTTCACATTTGTTGTTCCGCCGCGTGCTGCCACCTTGTCAGCTTGTCGGTTACACGTGATTACGAGTTTACAAGCAACGCGCTACTTACTTCGATTTCGGGGAAACGTCATTGATTGATCCCCGACCTAAACGCTCCGAAATCCACTGACGATTGTCTTCCTTTGACTATAGAATGCGTAAACAAAGCGGTACTCCGTTTTTTTTTGTCACCTTATTCGGATTTCCATTCATGATTTGCGCTTTAAGTTGGAATTGTTTATTTATAGTACCCTAAACTTAATTTAAATTTTGAGAAATGTTTTTTTGGATAATGTTTCAGTTTTATTTTTATCACTTCGAGTATTATTTTAATAAATATCTTATTGAAAGTTTACATAAATACTTGAAGGCTTCCATATAAATTCATGATTATATTGGAATAATTAAGTTCTGTAATTCGAAAGCTAATTGTGTACACATGTAGACAAAAATGTATATGTATATATATATGATTGTTTTTCTTTTGTTTCTTATAAATTTATTGTTTTTAGTGTCGCAAGAATTAATAGATCTGCACATCAAGTTGTTGCGCAAAACACGTAAATCCGTGTCACCAGAAAAGTGGGAGAGAGCGCTAGTCAAGTTTTGCCACACGTACTCTAATCAGGATGGATGGGAACTTGAACGCTTCAGTTACAAGAAAGCTCGCGTTGCTGTTAAACTGCGTTTACTTAAAGTATGAATTGTATTTTTTCTTGCCTGTCTATAGGATCAAATAGTTAATCTGTCTTATAATATCAAAATAATTTTTCTATTTTAGGTATTATTGGAAACACAATTTGATTTAAACCAAAAGTTTAAGAATGAAGTAAACAAATTGGCAGCTAATGAGTTGCGTGTGGAACCTTTAGGAAGGGACAAAAGTGGATTAGCGTACTGGTGTCAGCTGGATGAAGAGTGCAACATAAGAGTTTATAAGGAAGATTTAGATGAAGAGAATTGGGAATTAGTAGCTCAGTAAGTTTGTGTCTTATATACTGTAAGTTAAATTTAACTAAAACTACAGCTATTAATAATTAGTTATTCTTAGTTGTATTGTCATTTGTTATTATTCTTTACATTTATCAATGCATATGTTATTTGTAATAGGGATCGAGAAGGTGTTGTTAATCTCATAAGTACCTTGTCAAATGGCGAAATTGAAGCCATACCAATTAATGAGGATAGCAACAGTTTAGAAATTTCTGAGAAACCTATTATTGACACTGGCCAAGTAACAACGTCTCCAAGCTTAGAAGACGAAGTTGTTCAAGAAAACGGCGTTGACGAGATGAAGCAGCTACCAAACGGTAGAAGCGATGAGTTAGAGGAAGAACGAGAACGTGATGAAGATCAGGATCAAGATCAAATTCCGAATGCTATCATTAATGAAGTTGAAAAAGAAGTTGACGAAGAAGAAGAAGATATGGACGCGGAAGAGGAAGATATGACGAATGATGAAAGTTCCAAGCAAATTACGGAGGAAGACGATTCTCAAGAAATGGTACAAACTCCGAGCATAGAATCAAGATGTAAAAATGATTCATCTTCCTTGTCGGCGACTAATTTAAAGTTAAACATGAAAATAGATGCAAAATTGGAAAATGCGAGCCACAGAGAGGCTACTGACGAAACGTCCGCTTTCTTGGTATCGGAAAGCAAACCCTCAATAATACACAAACAGATCGGTGTTATAAAAGCTGAAGTTGACGAACCGGCGCCGTTAAAATCTATAGAAACGCCTGTTATTACTTCATCTCCATTGAAACTGGTAAATATTGCGGAATTGAAGCAGCCATCAGATGAAAAATTAGTAAGTCCGACATCTGTTATCGCGCCTTTAAACGCGGTAAAAAAGCACGGTCCTTCCGACGAGATAAAAGCCCTCGAGAAATTGTCTGGCAAGAACAGTCTATCTTTCTCAACTACAGATTCCATTTCTGTGGGGCACAGTAAACTATCGGTCAAGCCAATTGACCAATTAGCTGCAAATCTTGTGAGGATACAGTCAGAGAAATTGGAAAAGCCAAGCGGACCGAAATCGTTGGAAAAGATAGCGGAAACTTTAGCAAGATCCAGTAGTATGTTGGGAAATATGGTAAACGGAGAGGATGATAGACTGCCGCAAGATTTTTGTGCGAGAAATCAATCCGAGAAGTCGGCAACGCACAGGAGTCATAGAGGCATAGATTTATCAACGTCACCGCGTGGCTGGGAAAATGCAAATGAGCAAAACAGACCGGTGGATTTCTCTGGAATTGATCTTTCTAGTCGAAAATTGGGAAAAACAATGGATTTGCCTTCTCCTGGTTACAGGACGCAAGATTTCCAGCATCGAGAAATGGATTTAAGTACGAAGAAGGTGAACAAACCAGAAGTGTCAAATCTGCCGTACGATGCGCGTAGCGTAATGTTACGTAATCATGTGATGGTGGCTGATTTGAGCAAGAGACAGATGCCGTTTACCGCATACGAGACGCCTTATCATAATACAGCTAGATTACCTGCCAAGGACGAGCACAGATTACCAAGTTATGCGATACTTTCCGATCCCAGCAAGATCACGACGCTGAGAATGAACAATGCACCACTGAAACGTCCTATAGAGGATGACGATATACAGCAAGATATGCTGAAGAGGATAAGGGCGGATGTAATTCCAATCAGGGGTTCTATAGACAAGAGACCGATGATGAGTAGCAACTGGAGAGACGAAGTGAGTGAGGCTATCGAGGAGCCTATAATGATGGTCCAAGGCGAGGGATCTGGCAGTGATTGCGACGCAGTAAATCCCATTGTTGGAGAGGCTATAGAGGAACCGACGACTTTTTACTACGGCGAGGGTTCCGGCGCGGAGTGCGGGACAGGTAATCCCGGCGACGACGCGCCTACTGACAATAAAGAAAGCAACGAATCAAAAACTGAACCTGACTCAGCTACCACGGCGCTGTCGCAGAATAAGGTTTTAACCGAAGACGAGATATCTACGGGTTCGATACTGTCGAACAAAACCCCTGTAAAATTAAATAGAAATTATCCACAGTCTAATGTAAGCGTAAACGATAATTGTCAAATAGTAGATTCTATACAAGAAAAGCCAAAGTTTAAGCACACGTTAGGCGTCCAGATAATACCTAAAAGTACAACCGGTCCTGTCAAAAGGTTGTCCAGATGGGACGTGGGAAAGCCAGAAGAGAAAAAAGAATGTGACAGTAGTATCATATCAAACGAAGGAGACATATCACTGAAGAAGAATACGGATGATCACAAGCGTGATAATGTGGAAGAAAAGCTGTTAAATGTGGACGCTGAATCGGCCAAAACTGGATACGAGAATTCCGCTGATGTAGATCAAGGCGTCAAAGTAGATGACCTTGTAAATACAAGCAGTGGAGCCATCGAAGATAGTGTTAAATTGCAAGTGCCCGACGTGAGTTCGGAAAATACAAGTACGAAACAGGAAAAAGACTGTACGCTTCAAAAACCTGTGCAATGCGACTCGTCGATATCGTACCAAGCGGACACTTTGCAAGAACCTAAACCATGTACAGATCTTGAATCTACGACAGTTTCAGCTGTTACACAAAACTTGTCTGATTCGAGTAACGTGGTTTCGCGCGAACCAAATACTCCCGAAATAACGAATAATGAATGCAAACCAGCAGCTGCATCTCCGCCGAGATTTTTTTTTGGTCCCAATTGCATTTCGTACACTTCGAAATCCGATGAATTAGGATCTCAATCGGAACAAAGCCTGACTACATCAATTCACGATAAAACGGACACTGTGCAATATGAATGTGTGTCTTCGTCGAAGTCAGCAGATGATACTGTTTATTCGTACAAGACGGAAGATTTTGATTTGACGCAAACAAATAATAATTCGTTGAAATCGGATGTGTTTACCTTGGAATCTGACAGCGTTTTATGCGGAAATAATAGTAAAGATATTGAAAAAATTGAAACGCCAAGTAACACGTGGGATCAAACAAAGGAAGAGACTTTAACGCCCAGCAGCTCAATAGATCCAAGCACTACGCCTGAGTACAATGCTGCTAGTTCATCTGTCGCGCTAGTTGAAGTAGAAGCGAGTAAAGAGTCAAGTGTACAAGAATCTGTTTGTGCTGATAAGGAAGTGGAAGAAGATGACTGCTCGAAATTGCTTACAAGTCCTACGTCAGAAATGGTAACTGGAAATGAAAGTATTAATGACATAAGTATAACTGAAGAAGATTCAATAAAAATCAGTTTGAATAGCGAACTCAATGTTCAACCAGCAGAATGTGGGATTGTCGAACCATCGCAATGCGATCAGTCTATCGATTCTGAAAATCTTGTAAGTACAGAAACTCAAGAAGATTCTTTTAAAGCATCGGACGATGTTACAACGCAGCTGTTGGATGATAAAGAGGACAAACTATTAGCCAATGACTCTAAAAATGAGAATGATTATCAGTTTGATAGTACAAATGTTTGTAACGAACAGCAAAACAAAATTGAATTCGAGACAACGGCACATTCATCTTTATCTCCACTTACACAAAATTCGCAAGCAGAGCTAGCCGATCTCAGGGAATTCGAGGACGTTAACAAATCGAACGAGTCATTAGATTTGAATTCCATGAATGAAGTAGAATCTGCAAGTTATCAGGAAGCAAACAGGCTCAAGAAAACCGATCTAGATTCTATCGGAGAAAGTTGTGACAAGCAGAGTGACAAGAATGATAATTTCTCCGAAATCGATGGTCAGGACGATCATTCGACTGATACGGATAACGAAAAGATGAAAAGCCTGACTGGTTCTGATGTTGATTCATTATGTGTTAACTACGATAAAAATAGCGAAAGAACTGATGCATTATCTGATGTAGGAACTCATAATGATGGGTCAGGTGATTCTGAAGAAATTAAAGACAAAGGATTGAACGATGTGCAAGTTAATGATATTGTGTTCGGTATAGATTCCGAAACACATTTTTCTGAAAATTCTGTGGTGACCAGTTCTGAATCGGTTCAAGAAAGTGATAAACACAATGTAGTTCCTACTATAAGCAGTTCAGACGATGTCTCTGCGCAAGACTCTTCATTTCAGGAGAGTGAACCTGTGCAAATAGATGATGAAAAAGTGGAAAATACTTCGTCTGATACTGATAAGCCTTCTACGTTCAATATTTCGCCTGTAACGGTGCCTGAAACGAATATCTATGAACAGTCCAAGTCTGGTAGTGTCGAAACTATGAAAGAAATAAGCTCATCTAATTTAGTTCAGTCTACAAGTGAGTATGGAGACAATGTTTCTGAAAATCCCAGTTCTTGTGTTGATCAAGATTCGAATGGTGAAATAATTATAGATGATCGTGTGTCTGAATCGAATGAATCGTATAAAGAAACTGAAGAGACTGCAACGAATGATGAAAAATCAGGAAACGCTAAAGATACAATACAAGAAAATATAACGGAAGAAGTTCCAATGCAAGAAAATATAATGCAAGAAGATAAAATACAAGATAATATACAGGAAGATAAAATGCAAGAAGATAACATGCAGGAAGATAAAATGCAAGAAGACAACATGCAAGAAGATAAAATACAGGAAGATAAAATACAGGAAGATAAAATACAAGAAGATCCAATACAAGAAGATCCAATACAAGAAGATCCAATACAAGAAGATCCAATACAAGAAGATCCAATACAAGAAGTTACAATGCAAGAAGATACGATGCAAGAAGTTACAATGCAAGAAGATACAATGCAAGAAGATACAATGCAAGAAGATACAATGCAAAAAGATACAATGCAAGAATCAACAGAATTTGAGAAAAAAGCTCCGGTTCTTACAAATATTGAACACGAATCTTGTCAGTCCGAAACTGACTTATCAATGACGAAAACTGAAATCTCGGAGAAGGAGAAATCTGAGATTGATGCAGAAACCGGAGCTTCTAATGACCTTAAAGAATTAACTGTAAAAGATGAGAGTAAAACTTGTAACACTGATGAACAGGATACGACGGTTGCAGCAGATGTCTGCAAAATTAATGTAATTGAAGAAATTGCTGAAAACGTTGCAAACAATACATCAGAGATCGATGCAACAGCTGTAATTGTTGAACAATCGGAAACAAACATTGTAGATGTAATTTTTCAGGAATCACAAGTGAAGGACGCGAATGTTAATAAACAGTCACTAGTTGCGAATTATGATAGCGATTCCAATGATAATGATAGCAATGATGTTTTCGAATCTGAGGTGACGCAAATAAACGATTCTAAAAACTGTGCTGTTGCCCCGATAGATAAAAAACCGGATGAAGAGCAGTATGAAAAATCACTTGATAAAGAAAAAGATATCGACAGTACAACTTTAGTTTCTGATGTGCCTCAAGAATCAGTGTCTACCGAACAACAGTTACAGCCTTTAGAAACGACATTAGAAACGAAAGTATTGAATCAAGATGTAACTGTAGAGCAAGATATTAGAATTAAAGAACAAAAGTGTGTCGACGAAATACAAGTCAAATCTGTCTGCAATAACGTTGAATATCGTTCAACTGATCAATTAACAATGCTTTTAAATAAGGACGAACTTCAAGAGGAAACGAATATCCAGGATATTCCTATTGATGATTCTAAAGTGTCAGAAATGTCAGATGTGAAGCTTTCAGTAACTCCGGTCACGACTGAGGAGATAACTGAATCTTTTCAGAGTAAAAGTTGTGAGATGACTATTGGCCATAATGAGAAAAGTAAAGAATATCTCAACAATTCGATTGATAATATGAAGACAGTTGAGATGCAGGCCACTCGAGAGATTCTTGAGACAGAAGAAAAGGCAGATTGTTTAATATCTGAAAATGTTCGCGATTTCAACGAAAGCGAAGCAAATAAAAGCACAAAAATTTCGTTTACTCGAGAAAGCACAGAATTTAATACTACGGACAATCAAGTGACTGGTGTATTTCACATAACGGAGCAAACAAAAAACGAGAAATTGGATGTCAGTTTAGATATTGAGAATATTGCAAAGTCGAAAAGTGTAAATGAACTTAATTTTGAGGAATTGCCTATTCCGTGTAAAAGATTTAAAGAAGATCTCGACCGTAACGAAGACAATAAAAGGGACGAGAAACCGCAAGAAGAATGTTTAACTAAACCGCTCACGGAAGAAGTGAATTTACCATTGATGCAAACAGAATCGGATATTACGCTAGCAAAGTTGGATAATACTTTAGATGTGAATAAATCACACACATGGAAAACTGAAAGTGCGAGTTTAGAAGGAAGCATGTCTTTGGATGCCTTGTATAATTCAAATTCGATGTCCACGAAGGTGGATAATGTTAATAACTTGGACAGTTGCAACAATCAAAACGAGCCTTTTAGTATAAACGTAAATGTAAATAAGATTACGGAAAATTTTAATAAAAATGAGCCTTCAAATGCAAATAATGAATCGACGACATTTTCTGCTCAGGAAACTATTTCAGAAATTGATACTGTAAAATCTGATCCAAAGAAAGAAGCTAGTAAGAGGCTGATTGGTGCCTCGGATGTAGAGGATATTCCTCTGTTAAAGTCTAAACCTCCGTATATGGAAACCGATGATAAGACATTGGAAAATTTAACAGATATCGATATGCAAACGCCTAAGACTTTAGATACATCCAATGAGATTGAAAAGTTAAAACCACAAATCGAGGATGAAACAAAAATATCAACGATCTCTACAACGCAATTGTTTCAAAATGATTTCGGTATAGTAAACGATTCCGTGACTGTCGTCGAAGATTCGAAGAAGGTCGATTTAGAAACTGCAGAGAGGAAAGAATCTCCTAAAATTCAGGAAATCGAAATGAGAACTATTTCTGAAGCTTCTGACGATTCGATAGGTGTGGATAATGAAGATGTCTTTGTACCGGAAGAAACAGATCCCTTAGCGTGTACCGATGACACTTTAAAGAATATTACTGAAAATGTGTCTGATGCTTCTAAGATAAGTATTCGCGTAAAGCCGGCAACTGAGTTAGTTTATGAGGGATGGAAATTGGATAGCACTACGGAAACACCGAAGGTTTCGCGAAAACGGCGAAATAGCGCTCATGAATCGAATTCCGAGGATGGAGCAGCGAAGCAAGAAGACGAAGAGATGATGGGTGGCAAAAGAATGAAGTTACGCGCAAAACGTATACCGGATAAAGAATTACGAAAGTCCGTCGAGGAAAGTCGTGAAGTGGTGACGGTGAGCTCCGAGGACGAGGCTGTGAAATGTGATCCTGATAATGCAACAAAGCACGCGAATAAAGAGGGCAGCGGTGATCCGAACATTACGCAAACAATGACGATCGACAAAAAGATTAGGGGTCGTCCTAGGGGTAGAAAGAGGCGCGGTTTCCGGGGTGGTGGACGTTCGAGTCGGCCAAAGCTCACGGAATTTCAGGGCGATCAAATGTCGCCTGGTGATCATCCTGATGAAGCGCCTAACGATACTTTAAATACAACACAGAAGAAACGGAAAAAGCGTAAGTATACATACGTAGTGATTGCTCGTGGAATATGCAGTATTTGTGAAAGCTTGTTAATTGAAAACAAATTTTTACAGGAAAAATGGTCTTAGGTTTAGAAATAGGCAGAGATATCTCGTTAGAGACTGAAACATCACATGTAACAGCACAGGACGAGACGCCTGTCAGGCAATCAAGAAGAATAGCGCAGTTGAAAATAAAGGAACAAGCGGACAGGCGTAGAATTGAGGAAGAAAGTATGCGTGAAATAGAAGAGAAAAAGGAATCAGAAAAGAAAAAAAGAAAAAAGCAGAAGGTAATTAATTGTTCGATGTTAAACATATGAAAAAAACTGTAATTATAACTTAATAAGTAATTCTTTTGTGTCGCACAGCCGGAAAGCGAGGAAGAAGAAGTTATTATAAAGGAAATTGAAAAGGAGAAAAAGTCCAAAAAGAGACGTCGAAAGAGGAAGAAAAAGAAGATGCTTGCTAAATTTAACGAAGCGAATCCATGGCAGAGTTCATCCGGATCTAGCAGTGACGAAGAGAATGACAATGAAGATGAAGAAGAGGATATGGACGAAGATATGGAGAGCGAAGGCTCTTTATTATTTAAAAGTGATCATGAATTTTCTCCTGAGAGCGATCTCGAGAAGGATCAAGAATCTCAACCTTTGAGACGTGCTAGAACAGCACAAAAGGGTAAGTTCTTTGCTAAAGAGAAATTTATATAATGGATCAAAAGAAACAAATTACCAAAATGAGCCAACACAAGTCCTCAGTGTACGTATATAAAACGTGTATATATACACACATATGTTTTATTATTTATTTCGAATAAATTGTATAAAAAATACACATTGAGAACTTGTGATGGCTCATATTGGCAATTTGTTTGTTTCTTTTGATTTAAAAAAATAAGATAATCAATAGGTCTGTTATCGTCTGTTATCTATTTTTCTAATTAAACTATGTAATTTTAACCAAATGACAATTTTTATTTACAAACAATTTTATATTTTAACGAATTTTTTGGCTCGTAGTTCTTTTTCTTTTTATTATAATTAATAGGCTCATATGAATAAATAAAAAAAAAATGCCAATGTGAGTCGTTACAGGTTATTAGTGTGTATTTTTGTATATAAAATTTATTTAAAATGAATGATAAGACGTATACGTTTCGACCTTCGTTCAGGTCCTCTTCAATACAAAGAAAGATGATTAAGTATAAAAGTTATACATATAAATGGTAGCGCATACAAAATATAAATTATTTAAGTGTAAAGTACAAAATACCGTAGTGGTAATGTCCGAATTTAAGTCAAATCTTGTGATTATCAAATTGTTAAGTTTAATGATTGTCAAGATTAGACTGTCATCGTAAAAAAAGAAAAAACTATTATTATTGATTGGTATCGCAAACCAACTTTCTCAGATCGCTTCCTCAATTACTTCTTGCGACATCCACTCAGTCAAAAAATTGGCACAATTATTGGTTTGATTGATAGGATATTACTACTTTCCCACCCAAATTTTCATAAAAAGAATTTTGAAATAATTGTAAGAAATAACCTAAGAGAGATTCTCCCGGAGCTGTGTGGCTCCGCAGCAAAACTGTGGCTTGCTATAATACGAACTACAATGAGGCCTCGGTTCGAGTCCCGACATCGTGCACAGTTCTTACATAATTATACAAATTTTACTAAATAATGATTAGTTTAACGTCTTAGTTTAATTTTTTTAACTATCAAAAAATGACTTTACAAAAAATTTGATCTTTTTAATTGAACTGATGATGTTGTCATCAAAGAACAATTGACAATTCAAGAAAAAAATAATATAAAGTTACAGTTTTTTACTATATCTTTTATTCCTAATATTTCTAATAAAATCAAGAATTTTTTAAAACATTTATCTTTTATATGAATAGCTTATACAGGCATAAACAAACTCATAAAGGTCCAGAAGGATTACTTCAATTCTCCCAATCCAGTGTAGTATACAAGATTGATTAGAGGGACTGTGATGCGTCTTACGTTGGACAAACAAGCTGATGTTTAAAAACGCGCATAAAAAACACAGAAATCATATCAACAGAAATACGACCCAACATTCGGTTATTACGCAACATCGTATTGACTTATCTCATGAATTTGATTTGGATGGTGTACATATTTTAAACAAAGAATAGATTTTAAATAAAAGACTGATATTAGAGATAATACATATTAAAAACAAAAACTAAACCTGAATTTACAAAGGGTGCGTTCCACTTGGCGCTCACAATGTTTGCGAGCGTTATTTGTCCTTGTTTAACATTTAATAAACAACAAGGATGAAATGATTCCATGAGCGTTGCGAGCGTCAAGTGGAACGCACCTAAAATGACACACTTTCACTTGATCCTTTATATACAGATTTATTTTTTAAGACTGAGTAATGCTTCTATTCTAAAAATTTATCTCTTGTCTATTTATTATTTATATAGTATATTGTCATTGAGGTACATGTTCTGTTGCTCACTGTTTCTCTTTATTTCATTTCATATTTGTCTGCCAAACAGTTAATGTTTTGTCTAATAACTTTCTCTTAAATTCCATGTAAGTGAATTAAATTTTGATATCAATTACTTTTATAATAATTATATATTAATTTATTCATAATTGTGCTTACACAGTAAACTGAACAGTATAATAGAATCTGTACAAATACTACACTGATAACAGTCTAATCTTGACAACACAAGATTTGATTTAAATTCGGACATTACCACCATATTTTGTACTTTACACTCAAATAATTTATATTTCGTATGCGCTACCATTATATGTATAACTTTTATATTTGATCATTTTTCTTTGTACTGAAGAGGACTTGAACGAAGGTCGAAACGTATACGGTCTTATTATTCATTTTGAATAAATTTTATATATAAAAATATATATATACACACTAATAACTTGTATCGGTTCACATTGGCATTTTTTGTTTTCTTTTTTTTCTTTTAATTTATTTAACTGAGCCTTTTGATTATCTTATTTTTTATATAATTGGACTCTTATTCGACTATTTTATCTTTTTTCTATTAGCCCAAAGTGATGTTGAGGAAGCTGAGGATGAGTATGCCTGTCAGAAATGTGGCAAAGCTGATCATCCTGAATGGATTCTTTTGTGTGATTCTTGTGACAAAGGTTGGCATTGCTCTTGTCTTAGGCCAGCTCTTATGCTTATACCCGAAGGCGACTGGTTTTGCCCTCCGTGTCAACATGTAAGTTTATTTTTATACAATTTTTTGTTTTTTATACGATTATTTTGTGAATTGTCCGCACATAAATATTGCACACTTTTCGCAAAGTTTCATATATATGTATAAATATGTGTATATGTGTCTTAATAAAATTATCTTTTAAGACTTTATTGGTGACCAAATTACGAGAGACTCTAAAAACGCTGGATCAGTTAACAAAAAGACACGAGAATGAAATGCTACGAAAAAAGCGATTGGCTTTTGTCGGCATAAGTCTGGATAATGTACTTCATAAAGGCGAAACACAACATGGATCGAAAGGATCACAAGCATCCAGTCAAGAATCAGACAATGGTAAATTGTGTACAATACTTTATATTGCGTGGGTTTACGTTGTTTTAAATAATATATGACTTTACGTTAATTAATATTATCGTGTATCATTATAGTATACGCGATATTAATCTGTTTTTATAGATTCTTCAGAATCTTCTTCGTCGGACTCCACTTCCGTAATGTCGATAACCAGTGAGGAAAGTGAACCAGTTTATCAGTTACGAGAACGTCGATGTGCCAGTACCTACAAGTTTAATGAATATGATGATATGATTAATGCCGCAATTCAAGATGAAGTTGAAGCGGTTCAAGGTGCTGGCAATCAGGGAAGAGGCAAGGATATTGCAACAATAGTTAATGCAGAAAAGGAAGAGGCACAGGTAAATTAAAATAATTATAAATAGATATGTAAAGTAGGAACGTGATATGTGTTATTATATGTATACACAATATGCTACATTTATTTATTTTACAGGTTGAAGCATTAAAGATGACGCAATTAGAAGAGGACAAGGACGATACGGAATCAAAGCCGGAAAAAGAAAGTGATGAAGAATATAAGATTGAGAATGAAGATGTGGTTGATGATCTAGAAGAGGAACAAAATACGGTTGCTAGGAACAGAATACGATTACTAGCACGTAAGAAACATCGGAAGCTGAATAGCCTCGACATAAGCAGTGAAGACGATCCGGATAGTGACGAAGATTTTAAGGGTACAAGCTCCGAAGAAGAGGAGGACTTTGATGATCATATTTCATCATCTGATGATAGCAGCTTTGCCGACGTAAAACGACGTGGTAGAAAAGGCGATTCGCGCCCTGTTCGAAGATCTACCAGGGCACGTATGACTAGGGCCTACGATGATGATTTTAGTAAGTTTATTGTACTTTTTAATATCTCTATGTATATGTCTTTATTTATTTATTCTTGACACTAGTTACATTTATTTCGTACTCTTCTTCACTCAACAAAATCTTTAATCAATTTTTTATAAACTAAATTATAAAAAGAATGAGAACAAAAATTAAAGAATTAAATCCGGAACTTGTCCTATAAGTAATTGACTTTTTTTATATGTCATTCGGATTTTATACAATTAATCTTGTATAAATTTTACATAAATAATTAATATAAATTTTTATCTAAAAATTTTAATTATTTATCAAATAATTATCATTTTTATATATATATATATATATATACACACTACAAAATAAAGAATATGTTCACACTTTGTGCGTAGCAGCAGTTTTGCGCGAAAAAAGATTTCTATAGTTTTCAGGATTGAAAGATTGATTACTTTAGACAAGCTGAACGGGCATATAAATCTAAGGCACACAAATATTTAAAAAAATTATTGTAATAAATTCTTTTTAGTTAATGATGACAGTGACGACAGTGATCGACCAAAGAAAAAGAAATCGCGATCCATGTGGGGAGATTCGGATAGTGAAGACAGCGATAATTCATGGAGACAGAGAAAGAAAAAGTGCGAAATGCGTAATATATATTAAAAATAATATATTAAAAACATGATTATACAGAAAAATGTTTAAGTTATTTTTAAAATTATTGTAGAAGCAGGACAATATCAACATCCAGAGTCAGAACAATTCCTAAAACAAAGGGCAAAAAGAAAAAAAAGAGAAAACGTATAATAGAGTCTGATAATCAGAGTGAAAATGATGAAGAAGATGAGCCGAAAATTGAAACACAATGCGAACCTAATTTACAAGACTTCAATACCAGTCTAAATGAAATGATGGACGTTAGTAAACAAGAAAATTTTGAAACTTCTTTAGGCGAAGGCAGCGTTGAAATAAAAGATGATAGATTACAAGAAGAAACAACAACAGCAGCAGCAGCAGCAGTAGTAACAACAACAACTGCTGCTGCTTCAGATGTCCCTATTCCACAGATTCAGCAGCCGTCAGAAATAGTACCGATTCAGAAAATCAAAAAGGTAAGTACATTTTAATTAATTATTGTTACAAAAAATTAATATTTAATATTATTTTTTTAGGACATTGTGCCTAAACCGAAAAAGGCTCCTGCTATTAGACGAAAAGTATGTATATTTTGTTTCTTTATTTAAGGGGGACATTTCACGAATCATGTAGAAAATAAGGTGATCTTTCGCAATTTTTTAAATAGAAAACTATACGACAAATTCTTTTGAAATTTTCAGGATATGTTATTGTAAAATATTAACTACTAGAAAAATTTTTTTGCGATAGAAAAACAATGTGTATTTTATATTTATAATAATCTAATTTTGATTCGTCAGCATTGAAGTCGCTTGTCGGCGCACAATGTAACGCCACTTGTATTTATCGGAAACAAAAAACAAAAAAGTTCTTTTTTGTAGAGTTTATGTTATCAATTGAACTTACTTTTAATATGAAATTATAAAAATGGGGCGATACGTAGAAGAAAATTGTTCATTACGTATTAAAAAAGTAATTTATTTAAACATAATTATAAATAAAGGTTCAATTTATGAGGGAAGTATTTATCTAAATGTGTATGCACAGGAAGAATTCAATCGAATGAATAGTTTTTGAGTTATATCTTGCATGTCAATTTTAAAAAAGTAGTTCCAAGAAAAACGCGTTTAAAGTTTTAAATATACATAACCAACAATTTTCGATTACTTACAGCTAATCTGCTATTCCGGGTCCATAAAGTAAACTTTCTGTTTTTTCAAAAAAAAATTGTAAAGCTGCATTTTATTCTCGACGATCCGATATAGCTTCTCTAGTGCTGCTAAGCTGTGGCGCTCGAGTCTCCGTAGTCGTTGTGCGTTGTATTGATTAGCAAATATTTTACATTACTGACCAGTAATAATATCCATGCTATGCATTATTTGCAAAATGGAACTATAACCTTCGTTAAAAACTCCAACAGCTATAAAAGCAGCAATTGATATTTAGTTTATGAGTCAAAATCACTCCAAATCGAAGACTGCGGCTTCAAAAATATAACTGTTTCGAGATGTTATACAAAGAAACACGAATGCATACACTGTACAGTATAATGTTTCTATAGGATACATAAAAGAAATATTTCAGTTATGTTCAAAGCCCAAGAATCGATGGAAGAAATACACCACGCGCTCGGTGCTTTACCTGCTTGACGGTCCGCAAATTATCTGTAATTGCGTTAATTCTTCGAATTTTGTTCTAAATTCAAGGAACATATTTTTGATCGGTTATAGTACATTGTGTAAGGCCGGAATCAGACTACGCATTGAAAATTGAGATTGAAGATTAAAAATTGAAATTTGACCAATGAGAATAAAAGAATTTTTGCTCCTATTATTTTGATTGGCCAAATTTCAATCTTTCAATCTTTAATCTCAATGTTCAATGCGTAGTCTGATTCCGGCCTTACATGTGTGGTAAGCTGTCTATTGCGCGACACGGGCGTGGGAACGCACGAGCGAAGCGAGATATAGACAATTATAGCACATGAGTTGCACATAGATTTTTTCCTCACGAGTGCACTGTGTTAGTAATATGTTATACAATTATAAATTCGCACGAGCGAAGCGAGTGCGACTTATGGGGTGGTGCGTGGGGCGCAGGAAGCGGGGAGGGGGGTTCGAGGGGGGGCGCAGCCCCCTGACACAGAAATTAAAATAAATAATATAGAGAAAGAGGGCAATGAGCCAATAATATCGTTAAAATCTTTTTAAATTATATAATCTAATATATTGCGAAATTAAAATATTTCGTATATAAATATTTAACAATACAAAATTTTTTATTGTTCACATATTTGCTTTATTTTTGCTTTCTGATATATACTTACTGATTTCATCTGAACGTTATTACACGTTGAAGGACACTTACAATCTTGGTAAAATGGCCCCGTCCACAAATTTCTGACTTGGACGATATGGCCAGTATCGAAAAGCTGCCGCCACAGGCGACGAGTAACAAAAGTCAAAAAGAGTTATGAGAACAAAGATGATGATGCAATGCCCGCGAAAAATGGCACGACCCGAACGAACATCGGGCGCCTGCGTCTACGACGTTAGGTTTTAGGTTTTTCTGTGTTGTTATTTGTACGAGTGCTACCACTGCGTTGCGTTATTTTTCATATGAGATATTGGCTATTTATCGCACGCAAAAGCGTTGCGGTATAGGGCACATTACGTGCACGCGTGAGAAAAAATTATAAAATTATGCAAACAAATTTTTCAATTTTTTTGACTCATTACATGAGGTGTTCCCCTTAATGATTAGTTATGGATGGTCATATATATTTTTCAACAATATTAATTTTAACGAATTTTATTCTTTACAGATTATTTATGGTGGACTTCCAGACGAAAACAAACGAGAAGAAGAAGAAATATTAAGTCGACGAACTCGAGGACGAAAAATCAATTATCGAGAAGAAATGGCGTCAGATAGCGAGGAAGTGAGTGATTTTTAACTTTAACAAAATTATCACTAATATATACAATAGTATCTAAATTTTAATTATTTTACAGGAACTGAAAAAAGCATTGATGATGAGAAAGACTGGTGAAAGCGAAGATGAGTATGTAATGAATGAGGCTGATGATATGAATGATGATGGAGAAAAGGATTCTGATTCAGGTAACATAATATAAAATAAGCCTTACATTTTTATATAATAAAATTCATTGCGTACAAATAAATCGTAATGTATGCAGAATCAATTTTTGCATAAAATAAGTCAAAAGTAAATAAGATGTTCAATAAATTTAAAAAATTAGAAATAAAATTTAAAATAGTATTAAAATTTAATTTAGTATTAAAATTAGGCGCGCAATTTGGGGGGACTATATATATTAATAGAACGTTATTTCCTACTTTGGAAAAATATTGCGAACAATATCACTACGTCGACTCGCCATCAGAGGTCTATCGATATTCGCAAATTCTTGCAAGTGCTAAGACACGCGTATATCTCTTTATATAGAATCTCGATTTAATAACTTATCAAGGCGTATAAGGTAAGCTTCCATTACAATGCCTTACTGATGAGTCCAGTAGTGGAAGCCGGGACGAAACGCCAAACATTACGTGATATTCTTCGCAATATATAAATTAACAGATTTAGATTTTAAATTGTAATTTGACTCTTATTCGCCCTATTTAACGTGTTAATTATTGTTATATAAAAGAGTCCTTCAAATCTTCAATTCATTTGTGATTAAAATTAGTATTAGGCTACAAGCTAGGTATTGTTGCTAAATTTTATGTGAAAAATTTGATAAATAATCTATTACGATTTGCGTGTGAGATGTAATAACGGCTAAGATTTTTGAGCGAGTCATAATGATTTAATTAATTTTTATATTTTTAACTGCCGTTCATTATTTATTATTATAACGTACAACTTATTTTTTAAAAGGATTATTTCTAAAAATTATTATAATTTATTAAATATTTCGTCTAACGTACAAATCTAAATAATAACGATTATGTATTTATAGATATTGATTGAATGTTTTAGGAGATATTTATATTCCTAAGAAGGATGCCCTAAAATTTAAAAAGTCACCGAAAACAAAGAAATCACGTAATAGTAAGAGCCCTGCAGCAAAACGTAAGTCTTTATCTGATGACGTACCGAAACAAAGAAAGAAACCTGGACCGAAACCAGGAAGCAAAAACAGATGGCGCAAGCAGAAATTGAAGGATAACATTGATGGAGATATGATTGGCGCAGTTATGGACAATCCTATTGGTGACATAGCATCTAAAATTGATGATAATCTTCCAGATAATGTTGGATTAGCAGGCACGACAATGTCGGTAGCAAGTTCGTTTACCGGAGACGTTCCTGAAGGTTCATTGACAGGTCTTGGTGCCGGAGAGTTAGCTGATCTAGACGATGAGCAGCTCGAGCGGATGATGCTGGATGAAGATTACGGACGTCAGCAGTTGGAGTACGCGGCAATCGAAATAGCAAAGAAGAAGAAAAAGGAGGAACGAGAAGCTAAGAAGTTGGAGAAAGCGCGTATAAAGGCTCTGGAGATATTGGCGGCGGAGAGGCAAAGAGATCCTAATGCACCCGAGGGAACGGACGGTGAGGTGCCCAAGAAAAAGAAGCGTGGACGTCGCAGCAAGGCCGAGATCCTCGCTGAACAGATGCGCAGGGATGGTGCGTCAAATCTAGGCATCATCCCGGCTTCGGCTATCGGTGGAGTTGGCACACCGGATGGCGTGAGTAATATGTCACACAACATGAATCCGGGTACCTTATCTACGGATTTGACGCCGGAAACAGATAGAAGCATCGAAGGAGGACATATGCCTCTTATGACTGGACCCGATGGACAACTTTTTAATCCAGATGGCATGCCGGTGAAGCCGAAACGACGAGGTCGTGGCAAGGGCAAAAAGACTCTTGCAATGGAGGCGGCTAGAGCTGCGGAAGCGGCGGCTAAGGCCGCGGCCGAAGCTGGTTTGATCGGCATGGGTACTGACTCAAATTCAGACATGAAACAGAACGATATGCCAAACGTTCTTCCTACGCCAGGTAGCAGTACGTCTGGTTCGGCACCCTCCACACCACCAGCGAGTACCGTACCTACACCAGGCCCTCCATCGACGCAGTCGCCAAATTCGCAATCAGTTTATCCATCGTTACCCGGTCAACAGTCTTCCGTCATCACGAGAATGCTTCAGTCCCAACCAGTGTCCAGTACTCCACAGTCATTCACTGCGGCGGCGGCAGCGATGGGCCATAAATATTTCGGTGGACCCAACGCTGGAGGACAGATGATGGGTGGTCCGCGAACGGGATACGAGATGCAACCACGTGCCAGGATCCCGTCCCCTTATAGACAGGCGGGTCAATCATCTATGCCACCACATTTTGCTGCGGTCAGGTCGGGTACACCACCAATGCGTATGCGAGTACCCGGACCGCAGATGTATCACACGCCACACCATCCAATGGACCCGTCCCCTTCGGGTGGCGGACCGATCTCCATTAGCAATAGAGATCGGAGTTCGCCTTTGACGCCCGGCGGACCGGCGATGATTCCACCGTCGGCCGGCAGTTCACTGGCCAAAGGCGGTCCAACGCCGCCACCGCCACCTCCACCATATGTGAGGGGTGGTCCGCCAATGGCTAGGTTCGCCGAGAATCCTATGGGACCCAGGCATCAGATGCCGCCGTTTACCAATGCCTCTCCTGTAAATCACAATATGCAGCAACCTTCACCACCTCCCAATCGACCGCCCGGTAATTTTTCACCGTATCATCCGCCTCCGCCACCTAATTATCACTACGGTGCCTATCCGCCACCTCCGCCAATGTCTACGGCGGACGATGCAGCTGCCTATCAGAGTTCGCCGTATCCTTCGGAACATTTCTCCTCGCCGGCAGACAACCAACCACCGATTCAAGGACCGCCACCGCCTCAGGCACCGCCGCAGCAATCGCATCCGAATGATGACGATCATGGCACCGGCGAATTTGGCGGCCTGGTATCTTACTTTAGTAGCCAGAGAGAGGACGATCTCGATTCGTAGCATGAGTGAGAGCTTGGCCAACCCTAAATCATTAGGTAGAGGCAGCGTGCCCAGGTAAGACCACAACTTTTGCTACAGAGGGAAAAGTGGTAACGTAGACGCACCAAATAGAACACGAACTTTGGATAATCTAATTTTTCAAGGACATTAGTGTTGCATATGTCACGTGAAAATAAAGCTGTAGAGTCTTCCTCTTCGACCTCTAAAGCAAACAGTTGTCCTGTAGTCCTTGCACTTCTTACGCCGCCGGAGGCAAATCTAAGGTTGGCCAAGTGTAAAGCGAATGGAATCATAGTGACATGGCGGAACCTATTATTTAAGAGTTGTAAGTTTTTCTGTAATTAGTTTTCAGTTTAATTGGATTTGTATGCAACGGCGTACAATCGCAAAAACTTTAAGTGAAGACACAATGGTCGTTTCGTCTGATAATGGGGCGAAAGATCCGACCAGAACCATTTTTTACCATTATTCGTTATTATAATCCACTGAAAATTCAAATGAAGTTATTTCCAGAAAGATGAGAGGGAATTATTCACTCTCTCCGCGAAGTGGTAGTGTGTTCTGTGGAAGAAAAAAATGAGAAATGATCATTAATAATGACGAGAAGGGAATAAAAATTATCGAGTGGTTTTGAACGACATCGTTATTAACATGTACATATTGTAAATATCCCGTAAGTCCTTTAGATTATGTATTACATGTATTATATATATACACACAACACATGCAGTCATGCAGAATACTACAAAAATTAGTGCGGAAAGGGCACAAATGTAATATTTAAATTTAATTCAAAAGAATGACATCTGAATATTATAAATTAACAAACAGTGTGACTATTACTATAATTATTTATAAAGAAAAAGATTAAGAATTTATAATAGGCAGTATATTGTATTTTACAAATTTTACTTGATAATTCTATGAGAAACTATTAATATAGTTATATATTGAAGAACAGGAGGCTGCTTTAAATGTATCTTATGTGAAAAATAAACAGAATGGATTTTAACAAAACCAGCAGTTAGCGTATAATTGGCGATGCATGGAGAAATTTTATTGTGTCATGGCATGCATTATTTATATAATCCTACGTCTGAATGGTTTTGATTTATTCAGATATACGCAAATATTTCTATATCGCGCTGTGTTTCAAACAAATAGAAAAAATAGGATTATATATATTATTTATATGATATAATAGTATAAATTACATATAACTATAATTTGGAATAATTATATTTTTTGAAATAATTTTGATTTAAAAATAGTCTATATTATCAGTGTGTATGGTGCGTGTGATTTGAAGGACAACTAACTCGTTCGCACTACCTGATGTTTCTTTCTGCACTCCCAATTTGTCAGTATCTATATCCTTATCTATCATGTTTATATTAAGTGTTGTATATGGTCTGTCTAAATCTGGATTTTGTCCAACGTAAAAACCACTTTCACCAGAGTGATGTAAATAGAAGAAGTAAATAGTTCGGTCGATATAAATCAGGATTGGTAAAAAAAAGACATGTTTTAAATAGTTTAAAACATGCCTGACCGATGTTTTAAATATGTTTTAAATATATTTTTTGTAATACTGTTTAAAGCATATTTGAAGCATTAAAAACATGTTTAAAAATATACATGTTTTATTCTTATGAAAAAAATACATCAGTCTTTATTAATCCTGATATAAATGTTCTAAGGGCATTTTGAAAAAATAACTACCAAAAATCTTTTTTAGATCGATTTGACCAACATTATTAATTTTAATGTTAGTCAATTCTGATTCTTTTTAATAGCAAAAGAAGATACATAACTAGTTAAAATTTAATGTATTTTCGATCTCTATATTACGCGAATAATCATATAAGGCCAAGTATGTGAATGTCGGCCAATCTTGAGTGCAGGAAGAAAATTGAGACAGATCGAGATGTTCACTGAACAGACGTAAATGTACTAGGCTGGTGATAAACTTCGCGTTCAGAGCGAAGTTTAAGTTTCAATTTTTCAAATGTTATAGAATAGATAATCATAACAGCCTCCTGCTCTTTAAAGTTAAGGCCGTTAGTGGCCGTATGCGACGGAAGAAGAAGAAGAAGAAGAAGAAGAAGAAGAAGAAATGTATCTGTTTAGTTATCACACGTACATGCATACCTAATATAAATAGAAGCTATATGAATAAACAAGAAAAGGATATTACATTATCTTAGGATTAGCTTGCTTGGGAGAGTTTCCTTTACTACGTTGAACGTTTTGCGACCGAATCGAACGGTTATACACATATACACGTATGAAACACCCACAGACATGTACACAGACTCTACATGCAGTATAATGTAATAGAGGGGTTTACTACCACTAATTTTATTATTTTTACACCTATTACGATGTATATCGATTGTACGCAGTTCGATGTACAATCACTATTGTCTTCTTCTTTAGGCACAGCATGTCTTTGGGGCCGCTGATCCTTAGGCTACGCCTCGAGGAACCAGTTCTATCATGAAAGCGATCATTGCTATCTTTTTTTCTTTAATGTGCAATCGGCAGGAATGATCAACCTGCGATCTTATATATTGATTCATAATCATAAAAATGTATTTGATTCAAATCGGAAATTGTACATTTAGTGAGATTCTTCTTTGTTTGACCTTCTGCAATATGTATATTAATTATGAATGATCAATTAGGAGCGATGATTCTTATTTAAACATTTGAATGATTCAGCGCACCAACGACCTGTATTTTTAAAAAATTAATATTGATCTGAAAATTGAGAAAGTGAAATTTGTATTTTCTCGAATTTTCAAAGAAATGTATCGAGCTCGTTGATGCGCTAAATTTCTTCGTATTGTCAAGATATTGTTCAGATAATAATGATACCCGTAAAGATTGTGGTAGTACAGAATATCTTTATAAATATATATAGAGATACATATTAAAATATATATATTTAATTCAGAGATTTCGCACATTTTCTAAATTATGTTTTTTTTTTGTGCGTGACATTGCATTTAGCAAATATTCTCTAATATTGATAATTAATATTGACAAATTTATATATAAAAATATTTTGAACATGTTTCGATATATAATATAGTTGCTAACTGTCAAAAATTGGATAATGTAAAATGCGACATAAGCATAGTTTGCTTTCAAATTTGCATGAAAATGGAAACATTATCGTACGGTTTACTTTTCGTTGACCTCATATGTTTTTTCCTCGAGGCGTAATTGCGTAAATTAGCAAAGTGGCTCGATAAGGCAATAGTAAACATGGTGCAGTTTAGCTTTTTCTTTTGATAAGGGTCTAGACCAAACGCAATTATATTACATGTTGTAGCCTAAATAAAAGAATTTTCTAATAAAATTCAATATATTGAAATAATATTGTCGAATTTTTTTTACTTTTCTTTAGCTTTTTTACTTTCTAATCCTTCAACCCGTCCTTTATATTCTTATAAAATATAGAAGATAATGGATTCAATTTTTATTATTAGAAATATCTTATAAAAAAGATTTTACAAAGATAAAAAGGATACAAGCGTATTAAAAGGATATGTCAATTATATAAATGTAATCAAAAGTATGCAATATGAATATTAAAAAAAACTTATATTTATACATCAAGTATTTCTGTTTCTTTATAATGCCGATGATTATTTTAATCACTTTACACTCGTTTCATGTGATTCAAAATTTACATGATAGGGGCAATAAGTGCGTTTAGCTGCTTATAATTTTAAATATATTAAATTGTTATTGCATGTAACTTTTGAATGCATTAAACGTTTATTGCATATAAGTATTAGGCAATTGCACTGATAACATCAATTTTTTTACATATTTTTAAATAGATTTTTATTTTTATAAGATTTTCAAAGTCTATTTTTATAATGATATATACTTAGCTAATTTTATTGATCATATACTCATTTTTTATTTGTACTCATTTTTATATCCATTTTTTTGATTAATTGCTGAAAAAATATAAATTTTTTAATATATTACATATTTTTTTAATGCATTTATATAGAGTGGAGTTGGCTAAGTCGAACCGAGATAATTAAATCATACCTTCATTGTATTTTCTAAACGAAACATTTTTTCTTAAAGATGTGATGCTAATAACATGACTTAAGCCCAAGACACAATGCGAGGGAATAGCGATAGCGATAAGTTTCAACTTATCAGAAATCGAATACACCGGAATACACATTTTTGATAGGTTGAAACTTATCGCTATCGCTATTTCCTCACATTGTGTCTTGGGCTTTAGGCTGCGTTCAGATTCCCCACCCAGGTGCACCCAGTCACCCAGAAAGCGTTCAGATTCCTTTTGAGTGCCTTCATTGGACACTGTGGAACGTTCAGATTCCTATTCTATCCACCTGGGAGGGTGAAAAAACCACCTGGCTCCTTGAGCCAGGTGGAATGGGTGATAATGGCGTATTAAAGACTTCATGTGCGATTCCAGCATGTTTTGACGTGCATCTATTGAAAAATTTAAATTTCATTTATGCTTGCTATAATAAGCGTATCCCTCTATAAGCGCAAAATATTATAATAAAAAAAAATAAATATAAATATTATAAATATTAATGGATGAAAGTGTGTAATAAACTTTATTTAATTACATACAATTGTAAACCTTTCGACCTTAGTCCAGGTCCTTTTCAATGCAAGAAAAAAATTATTAGATGGAGTAAATGATGTCAAAAACAATTACAATACAAAAATGAACTAATAGCTATATGGTGTTGTCCACTTGTAATCAAATATCACGATCATTGAAGTGAAAAATTCACTGAAATAAATAGTGTGATCGTGTGAGATTTTTATATAGAATTTTAGAATTAAAAATCAATATAAATGAATAAATAGTAATTAAATAATATGATACAAAACTTACATGATTGTCAAAATTTGAAACGTAAAGAATCATCATAAAGAATCCATATATAATATAATATAATAATATAATAATAATAATAATATAATAATATATATATCAACTAACCTAAAGAAAAAAAAGGGCAAATTCTATTGGTGATGTGGTGATGAGTGCGTTCAGATTCCTAAAACACTCGGGTGCTTTTCACTAGGTTCCGGGCCCACTCACCCAGTCACCCAGCGAACACCCACGCGGTGAGGAATCTGAACGCAGCCTTAAATACTGTTATTTTTTTGTCTTCGAGTAGTCTGAGACGAGTGACATTCAAAGTTTTTGTTCAATTTACTTAAGACGTTATCAGTACAAAGTGAGTAATTGAATTACAGTATATTATACTGTGTTATATAATTGAAATTTTTTAAGTATAGCATCAAATTAACAAAATATTTGTAAGTTACGTTATTGATAAATTTGTAAAAACTGAAAGTTTGAATAAATCTGGTCTATTAAATAATACTATTAAACAATATACTTTTGTATTATTTATTGATCTATTAAATAATACTTTGTAAGAGGATTATATGAACGCTGTGTCATATATCGTCTCACTCAAAGGAAGAACGTTGAAAATGATTTTTCTGGAGTCTTAATCTTGTCAGGAATAGAAAGGACTCGCAAGATTTCAATGTATTAAGCCTGAGCGGCGAGAGTGAAGGAAGTTGTGAATAAACAGTCCTGGCAATGTAAATCCGATCACTGCAGACTTTATTTCGTTTCTCTATCACTGTTTTTGGTGATAACAGTAACTGAATGTTATCTCTTACAATATATACACTTATTGGACGAACAATCGTGCTCACCATGGAGAGCGAGAGAATTGCGTTGCAAGATGAAAGATAGTCGTCAGGACGAACTAACACCGTCGACAGTCGAAAACG